GTCAGGCCGGCTAACAGTTTGTGTGGAGCTGCTGCAGTTCCATATGCATAAAGCTGCAAGTGGCCAACGCTCTGCCCACCCTCTCAGCACATCAGTCAGTGCCCATGCAGCAGTACAAAGACCGATTAGTTGGGGAGGGTATTTCATAATCCTTTGCAGGGGGGGGAGAAGGCTAACAGTTTTCCATTAATACTTTTATATGTTTTACAGTAGAGTTCACAGGGCCCAATTATTTCAAAAAAGAAAACTGGTTTTAATACTGTTCTACAGCTGCACGGGTTTCTTAAGGACTCAACCGCATCCTAAAATCTGCACTATGTATTTCCAAAATCTGGGATCAATTGCGTGTTACAAGATGGCAATGCACTCTCAGAGAGAGACTGTCAGTTTGATTTAACTTTCATAAATAAATTTACTTAAAATTCCCAGATTCCAATAAAATATCTTTAAATGGCACCCACTTCTTGAACTATATCTTTCAAGAAAATTTAATGAGAATTTTCTGCCCTCCTGCTGACATTTATAGGAACTTTCCATACAGAGAACAAAGTAAAGTTAACAACACGCTGCTTTGCTTACACACAATGGACAAATTGAGATAATTTTGACTTTTAACTTGTTTCATTTATAATAACCTTAAGTGATACCAATTAACTACAGTAGTTATATTTTCAAACATCCTGTCGTGTACTGCTTTGCTCCGTGAACTGCTTTCCTGAAATTACAGAATCATTTTTCATTATGAGGATGCCCAGGGCAAGGTTTTGCAAATTCTTCTGCAACAGAAAAGCTATTTCCCCAGGGTACCCAAAAGCAGATTTTGCAGAATGCAGTTTTAATGATGGCAATGAAAATACTGAAGATTTATAGCACTATAAACAACAGCTGAATTTGTCTGAAATGTCCTTCCATGAGATCCTCAGAGATAAAAAAAGAGTGAAGAGGGAAAAGAATTTATTACCTGCACTGGCTCCCGTACTTGCTTCAAACTAAACAGAACACATTTTTCTTTAATCCACTATCTTCATCACTAAATGTTTATCATAGAATCATAGGATGGGTTGGGTTGGAAGGGACCTTAAAGACCATCTAGTTCCCACTCCCCTGCCATGGGCAGGGACACCTTCCACTAGACCAGGTTGCTCAAAGCCTCATCCAGCCTGGCCTTGAAGACATCCAGGGATGGGGCATCCACAGCTTCTCTGGGCAACCTGTTCCAGTGCCTCACCACCCTCTCTGGGAAGAACTTCTTCCTGATATCTAATCTAAACCTCCCCACTTTCAATTTAAACCCGTTACTCCTTGTCCTGTCACTGTTTACCTCCAGGTAGCACAGTACTTTGTAGCTGTCCAGTGAAAGCAATTCAAAAGGATGAAAAAATCTGGGCTTTCACCCAAACCTGGAGACTTAAGACAGTCCATCGCCTAAAACTTTCAGAGGCTCTTCACAGATTTTTTTTTTTTAATTCCACACCCCTAAAAATGGAACCAGCGTTAATGTAACCCCGGGTTAAGGAGGTGAAGCGAAAGCTTCCTACCCTGGTACCGTCCTCACTTTACTATCCATCATTGATTTTTCAGGAAGGCAGCGATGAACTTTCAACAAGAAGTCTGAGGACAATCACAAGGGACTTCAGGGCTTTGGGGTGACAGGTTAAGGGACTGGGAGCACAAGTGGCGTTATCCTCGATCCCTTCAGTTCCAGTGAACGATGAGGAGAGAAACAAGAAGAGCCAGCAGATCAATACATGGCTCCAAGCCTGGTGTCACTGGCAGGATTTGGGGGTTTTTGATCATGGGTCGGTCTACAACACACCAGGTCTGCTGGCAACGGCAGGGTACACTGGTCTCAAAGTGGGAAAAGGATCTTTGCACATTAGTTACCCGGGAAAGAGCTTTAAACCATTTCCCTCTTTTTTTGAAGAAGGAAATGCATAAAACCAGGCTTGGTAGAGATAAAAGTGTGAAGTGGCATGCCAGTTTTTCAGGGAGAGTGTGCTTTGGTCTGCCCTCTCAGTGGAGGTCAGGGATGGAGACCCATGCGGCAGCGAAGATGCGGGGTTATTCATGTGTTAGAAATGATCGAAGAGCCTGAGAATGGTCATGTAGGAATTAGGACCTCTCCCCTCAACAAGGTCAGTCTTGGCTTCTGTGCCTGGCAAGATCATGAACAGATCCTCCTGGAAATGATGCTAAGGCGCATGGAGAATGAGGAGGTGATTGGTGACAGCCAGCATGGCTTCACCAAGGGCAGATCGTGCCTGACGAACATGGTGGCCTTCTACGATGGGGTCACAACGCTGGTGGATAGAGGACGAGCAACTGATGTCATCTACCTGGACTTGTGCAAAGCCACCACTTTCCATCATCTAGCTGCAGTCCCGGCTAACTGGGGAGGTCCTAGTTGACTGGAGGTTAGCCAGTGTGATGTCCATCTACAAGTAGGGCCAGAATGAGGATCTGGGAAACTACAGGCCTGTCAGCCTGACCTCGATTCCAGGGAAGGTTATGGATCATCTTAAGTATATAAAGAACAACCAGGTGATCAGGCCCAGTCAGCATGGGTTCATGAAAGACAGGTTCTGCTTGATGAACGTGATTTCCTTCTGTGACAAGGTGACCCATTTATGGATGAGGTAAAGGCTGTGGATATTGTCTACCTGGACTTTAGTAAAGCCTTTGACACCATTTCCCACAGCATTCTCCTGGCAAAACTCGCTGCTCATGGATTGGATGGGCGCACTCTTCACTGGGTAAAAAACTGGCTGGATGGCAAAGCTCAAAGAGTTGTGGTGAATGGAGTTCAATCCAGTTGACTGCTGGTCACAAGAGGTGTTCTCCAGGGCTCAGTACTGGGGTCAGTTCTCTTTAATACCTTCATCAGTGTCCTGGACAAGGGGGTCAAGTGCACCTTTACTAAGTTTGCAGATGACACCAAGTTGGGTGGGAGTGTTGATCTGCCTGAGGATAGGAAGGCTCTACAGAGGGATCTCAGCAGCCTGAATCAATAGGCTGAGGCCAATTGTATCAATCCAAACTTCGGTCAAACCAACTCCACACAACACTAGAGGCTTGGGGACGAGTGGCTGGAAAACTGCCTGGTGGAAAAGGGCCTGGGGGTGTTGGCCGACAGCTGGTTGAATATGAGCCAGCAGTATGCTCAGGTGGCCAAGAAGGCCAACGGCATCCTGGCCTGCATCAGGAACAGTGCCGGTAGCAGGACTAGGGAATTTAATTGCCACCTAAATCAGGAGCCTAGACCTGTCACCAAGCCAATGGAGAGAAGTGGGCACCTCCACAGAACAATGAAGCAAACATTTTGGTTGCTGAGAGTGTTAACACAGTCAATATAAATAACCCCACAGAAACGTCTAAGGTTTAATTTTTGACATTTCCTTCAGGCTGCAGTCCACAAACTAATCATAAAAATACTCAGTCTCAGTGTATGTGACAGCAACGACAGAGATAATAAACACCTGTTCGAGAGACAGAATGTTTATTGTTTAGGGATTTTCTATTTGTTCCCTGCTCCTGTAGTTTCTATGTTCTGTAGTTTAAATTCTGTGTAAAAGGTCACATTAAAACACCACTTTTGTAGTGCTCTTGGTGTGTTTGTTTTGTTTTTTTCATTTGTTTGCATGGGGTTTTTCTGAAGGAAATGAAAATATTTTCTAACCATATGGCAATTATGTATCTCTCTATGCAGAAAGCTACATGAAGATTAGCCTCTTGTTAGCTCCCAAATGGCTTGCATTTGAAACTGCAATGAAATACCAGCTATCTTTGAGATCTAATGGTCAATGAGTTTCATGTTCTGTTCTACTTTCCAGGCCTGTTCTCTTTTTTCTCTCATTAAGTTCAATCTCTCCATAAAAACTCGACCACTAAATGTATGATTTGAGCACCCTGAAAAGCACAGCCTTCCTTTAAAATCTTTATCATCACTCTGGCTTTGGCGCTGACTCACACAGATTGCACTAGTCTCCTGAGAGTGACTTAAGCTAACATTAATTTGTGTAAGAAAAGTAGGGGGAAGAATGAAGCACCAGACACCACGCACTGCTCTACGCATCACCCTCAGCCACCAACATACACTAGTAGACAAATAGTCAGGACAGCCTAATACATCAGACCAAAAAGAGTAGCTTTATGGGAATGCAGACTAACTACTGCAAACCCCAAATGTAAAATAAGCACAGGCCTTGATTTATCAACAGGCATGTACCTATCCGCCTCATCTGGATTATCACTTTCTACAGTTCCTTGACCACTGCTGACCACAGTGCTGTTTGTTACATTTTCACCATATTACTGAATATATTTTAAAAATGATTCCAAATTCTTTCTGAAAGTAATAAATTTCCCTCTTTCAAAACAGTTCTCACAGAGAGGATGAGGAGAAGGAAGAGCTCCCATAGTGAAGAAAATTATCTCAAAACTGTCTTTTCAATACAATTTACCCAGTGAAAAGGAGAACTTCTCTCTCTTCCCATGGAAAAAAACAATACAATTTTCTGTATAAAAGGCTTCCTAAATACCAGCAGATACTTTGCTACACAATCAATGTATTTGGAAAGGCAGGATCTCTGCACGTGATGAATCACTCATCTTCTGAGCTTGCTTTTTGGCATGGCATACTGGCTGGACTGCCGTTTACCAGCAGCACCTACTTCCACTGCTCCAAATCCCCTCTGTCTTATGAGATGTGACGCAACCTAAGATTAGCCCAGTGGCACTACATGGAAGAGACAGATGCATACACGTGCTGAGGGTGATTCATGGGGAAAACAGCGATACAACAGCTGCTAAATCCTTCTAGCCCCAGCAGAGAGGGTCCTGTATACATGGCTCCCAGGACTCTCTGGTACAACAGCTGCCTAACATGCAGAGAGAAGCGTAAGAGAGAAACCCCATCAACCTAGAAAGGGAAACGTTAATATCAGCAAGTATCCCCCTGTGAATGGAGGTCTGCAGAAAGTGGGAACTAATCAAAGCCTTACCTTCCTTGTACTGTGCTCTTCCGCTCCACCCCGCTGGGCAAAATGACTGTGAAGTCCACCGATCTGTTTATCATGTTCTCCTTCATGTTCACAAGGTTCTGATCAGAAATCACAGCTGTCTCTGCAGGTGACTTGTGCTCACTGTGAATCCTACTTGCTGCAGAAGCTTGATTTGGTGGAGCAGGAGCACGAGCTTTCATTCTTCTCCTTCAGAAATAAAGGCAAGAAGAAAATTAATAATTTCTTGCAGGCAAAGTATAAACACGTTAATAAGGAAATGTGTTCCTTCAGCCATTATCTCAGGCTGGTTTAAAAAGTTCCTCTACTGCAAGCCATTTTTCTTTATTATGACACTCTTCAATGGAGTTGCATTTTATTTTTACCTCCTCTCTAAAAATATGCTAATTTTTTAATGATGCACTCACTCACTCCTGTTTGCTTTCCATGCCCCAGAGGATAAATCAGTTCCAGAATTAGGATATGAAATAATCATTATTCTATGGAGTATGAAGAAAGAAACAAAAATACTGGGTCCAGTCCAGACCTGACTCAAGGAAGAGTTGTATTTACGTAAATGAATGTTTCCTCCAAGTCAGCACAGCAGGAGTGGAGGCCGGGTGAGGTTTCATTCAGCTATATTTGGGTTCCACAGTCTTACTCTACTTGAAATATTGTCTCTTCCTCTGCTCTGAGTAAGTAGTATTATATTTGGCTCATCGTACTTCATAGGGAAGCACTATGAAAAGGTCAACCATGAATGACATCATTCCTTACTGTGCAACACTAAGAGACTATAGTTCTTTGAAAGCACCCTGAAGAGAAACTCATTCCTCAGTAGTAGGCTATGTGCCCCAGGTAACATACAGAAAAGCTGTATCAACTTGCAACGAACCAGCAGCATACTTGACAGAGATATCAAACCACCACAAACTCAAGAGTTTACTTCGTTGGCAAGCTGCCAGACAGATAAGCAACATATGTGCACTATTAAACTTCTGAATAGCTGGCCTCATACCAAGCACATGTCTAAGAGAATTAATTCTGACGATTAATAGCCCAGTGACCTCTTGTGACTAGATTTATGCTTAGTTTAAGTCAGATTTTAGTGAAACAGATGGAAAAAGCAGTAAAATATTTACTAAAAAATGATTACCCAGGATTACTGCCTGCATTTTTTGATCTGCCTGGTTTTAGGGTGCAGAAAGAGATTATGATTCTGCATATCATTGTCACCCTGCGAATGTGAACAGAGGTCCAGAAAAGAAGAGTACAGAAGAAGCACTCTAACCCCTAAAAGCCTGCAAAAGCTTCAATCAGCCAAGGTAAAAACTGTGTTTAAGAAAAAAAAAAATTAAAACTGAACAGGATTAATATTAAACCAAACACTTCTTTAGTTAGAAACAATGTGTATTCTCACAGATAAAAAGACTAAACATCCTTTTTTCTCTGCCAGGACCTTACATTGATAATCCAAACTGTAAGAGCTAGATAACATTACCAAAAAAAAAAAAAAAAAAAAAAAAGAGTTCGGAAACAATCCAAACCCTCTACAATTTTTAATATGTATTTTGGATTTGACCAACAATTTCTGACATGTCTCAACTTGCAAAAAAAATCACTACACTGCTCTGAAAATACACAGTTCAGTGGCACCTCAGCAGGACACTGTAAAATCAGCAGTGATGCCGATGCTTCCTTTCATCTCCCGTGTGCATAACAAACACCATTCCCTACAAAATGCAAGGAGAGCTACTGCCGTATTTACTAGCATACAGCAATTCCTCTTCTATGGGAAATTTTGCCTGAACATTCACTTTTATCCTGTATACACCCCCAATGAGTCATGCAGTCATCAATCACTGACTTGCAGCTCCTGCGCTCCTCCCCATGGAGATGATGATAAAAAGTTCAAGGCTTTATTGTTTGTCAAACTACCCTGACTTTCTGTACGTCTGTGAACCAAACTCTTAGTTTATTTACTTGTCTATAAAAGGGAAAAAAAAAAAAAAGACATTGGGATTAACCTGCTCAGATCCCTTTATGTTTGGCTACAGTTGTTATTTGTAAGCAGGTGCTGAGAGACTTGGGACTTTTGCACAAATCCAGATCATGCCAAAGTCGCTTTACAATCATGTGGTGCAACACTTAAGGACTTCAGATCAATTTATAAACAATGTAATTCTTGCCCCCCACAACACCAACTGCATCAATATAAGTAGCTACCGAGATTCATATCAACTTGTCTCTTAAAACAAACTTTACTGTTTTGTTTTTAAAGCTTGTCCTATAATGTGGGGGACAATCTCCAATATAAAGTACGAGAGGAGGTGGGAAGAAAAGAAGCAGGCATGTGTCCTGAGCCTGGAAGAACTAGGTTTTTTTAATTATGCTTTACCTGGACTGGTAAATTCCAGACCTGTCAGTGAACAATAAAGCAATGGTAAAAAAAATAAACATGAAACTGAAACCAGCTGAAACTGAAAAGATTTGAAACTTCAGGGGAGAAGGCAAGAATGACTGAGTTTTGAAGCTGATGAAGGAGCTGGAAGTAAATTGGGAGTATGCTACACACATCTGATCCCTGTCAATAACAAAGCTGCACATGGTTTTCTGAAGGAAAAAACAAGGTCAGGCACCGTAATACCAATTTATTGCACTGAAATAGAAGTGCAATTTTTATTTGGCCACTTCTTAAGTATTCTTTATAGCCAATTCTGCAGTTACAGACCTTGTACAACACTGCTTGGGATTGGGGGTGGGGTGGGGTATCAGGAAATCAGGCATCACACCAGCAAAAGCATCAGCTATACATTGACCAGGGAAGTTCACTTTATCTCCACAAAACACGTAACAATGCATATTCTTTTTGGCATTACACGGCCAGGGACTTTTAGATACTGCAATCCTCCTCCTCTTTTGTGCAGAAGGGACAGCGCAGGTCTGTTTCCTTCAGAGACATCAGAGGAAGGAAAAGGGAAAACATTCCCACTACAGTCTCTCTAACCTAGCAACGGTTCAGGTGACCTCATACGAACTTTTCCACAATAGCGACTACACATTCTCTTGAAACACAGCGACTGCTTTAAATGCCTGGTTTGCCACATTTTCCAAATGACAGATCTCAAACCTCTTCAGTGGCAGCAGATCTCTTTAAAGTTCACATCTGTAGAGCAATATGTAGCACAGATTCATATCTCCTAGCCAATATGTAGCATCTCAGTCATAGAAAGTAGCTCCAGCCTGAAATCTGCAGCTCCAGCTCCACCTTGGATCTGCTCAAGCAGCTGCTTTCTGATGGGCTCCCGCAACTGCCGTCAGAAGGTGCTCAGAAGCCCATTGAGACTACTATATGCAAGTAAGAAGAAGAATTCAGCTTTCTCTGTCAGAGGAACGACGGTTAGAACAGGTAACACAAACCCACTACATAATAAAAGCCTTTTTGTTCCCACACTAAAATAACGCAAAGAGAAAGCAAGTGATTTACAAGCCTGTTTGAAGCATGGCTACTTTCCACGCTATAAACACAACATACTATAAAAAAAGAGTTGCATACCGTTATTCAGTATGAGCTAAATTTAGATTGAATTTAGCTCAACAGCATTTTTTTTCCAGAAACATCTCTCACTGTGCTCAGTACTGAGACACTTGTTAAGCCCCCATATCTGCTATTAGTCTGAGGATGAAGTTAGGAGCAGGAACAGTGCAAACCTATGATTCACTCATGGTTACATGAACGCTTCTATCCGGCCCTTGATAAGGAGACAGAGTAAAAAAGCAGCAGCTGATTCTAATACACAAATGTACAGTGCCTTTTACTGAGGTTTAAAATAGTTCATCACACTTCACTGTAAGCTTAAAAAAAATTCATATAGCCATGAAATAATCAGGCAGAATACATAAATAACCTACCAGCACTGTCCTCAGTAACAGCATCAGGCTTCTCAAAACAGAAAAGGAAAATCAAGCAGACTGACCAACAAGGCCAGTGTTTCTGTAGTACCACACGTGGAACAAATGCAACAGAAATGAAGTGTCACCAGATTAAGAACTTCAAGACAAGGTAACACAAGCCCTTTGGACCTACGCTTTATTAATATGTAACTACCAAGCAATAGGATGCAACCTGGACTTTACAATCCCATGCTGAAAAAAACATATATTCTATTTCTAACAGAAGTGCTACTGGGACTTCTACCCCCATGGCAATGTTACAGAGAGATCGTCTTTCTTCAGATAACATCCAGTACCAAAAATAAAAAAGTGATCCTACACATTCCCACCATGCTCTGGATGGAACCCTCTCTGCCCTGTAAGGTAAAGGCAACTTAACAGGTACTGGGCGGACTTCATCCCATGGGTATCAGCAGGAGTTTGGCAAGAGCCCTGTACCACACCAGTTTGTAGAATCTTGCCCTTTCTATGCCAATTCTCTAACTATTAAAAAAAAACCCAAAACCACTCCATAACCAAACCAAACCAAACAAACCCTAAACCAAAAAAAACACCAGTCCCCAATACAGGAGAATTACAGTCAACGTTAATTTTTGATACAGTGAACAACTATCACAGGACTTCCAACTCAGACAAGCCATTCTGCAGTCCTGTCAGTGCTGGAGCAGTTGCAGAGGGTTTCTCTGTGACATTCATGTGCACCATATCTCATAATTAGGAGGAATAAACCAATGTGAGAGTGCTCGGTGATGACCACAGTACACAAACCGTGTCCCTTGCGTGAAAAACAGGAGACAATCAAGAACCACAGAACGGTTTGGGTTGGGTGGACCTGAAAGACCATCTAGTTCTAACCCCCTTGCCATGGGCAGGGACACCTTCCACTAGACCAGGCTGCTCACAGGGACACCTTCCACTAGACCAGGTTGCTCAAAGCCTCATCCAGCCTGGCCTTGAACACTTCCAGGGATGGGGCATCCACAGCTTCCCTGGGCAACCTGTTCCAGTGCCTCATCATGTTTCCCGTGAAGAATTTCTTTCCTGATATCAAATCTAAACCTACCCACTTTCAATTTCAATCTGTTACCCCTTGTCCTGTCACGAAGTAAACGTTCTCAATTTTGAGGTGACTGCATCCCTACAGCCTTTTGAGGGGAAATATATGTACATTGCTGGTTGGGGGGGGGGAAGTAGATGAGTACTCTCGCTCACTCGCTGCAACCTGCACAGCAAAGCAAGAAACCCAGCCCT